ACCGCCAATCTTCTGGTACGATAACCATGTGTCATGAAGTTTGACACACGTCTAGTACATCCATTTCTCATTGGCAAATTAATGACGAGGTCTAATTGTTTTTTCGAAAGGAAATCAGCAAGATGTCTTAATTCACTCGGACTGGAGTCCTCGTTAACGCCGATGTTTTCGAAAGTCCATTGCACCGGTTCCACCTCGACTCCGTGTTCACTGTAAAAGTCCGCAGTGCCCATGCTGGCATACAAATTGTAACCCATCTTATGCAGACTGTTAATGGCTGGTAATAATTCCAATTTATGTTTAAAACTTCCTATTGATAATAAGATCCCTTTTTGTGGTATATGAAAACCGGTACTCATCATTCCTTGGAGATACGCTTCRTAACGATTTTTTCCGAAGAAAGCAACTTCTCCTGTTGACACCATTTCAACAACTAACATGACGTCGGCACCTGCTAGACGCGAGAATGAAAATTGCGGTACTTTAATACCAACTTTTCCACTCCCAGCTAGAACATCTACAGGTTCAACCGATTCACCAACTATCAATCGTGTTGCCATTGCGACAAAATCGTGATCCAAGGTTTTGGAAACGAATGGGAAAGATCTTGAAACTCGTACGTTGCATTCTATCACCTTTAATTCATTGTTCTTTGCAATCAATTGCATGTTAAAGGGACCAGTTATTCCTAAAGAAGCAGCAACAGCTTTGGAAATCGATTTGATTTTTGCTAAAGTTTTTGCATTGATATCTTGYGGGGGTGTTACTAATGTAGCATCTCTTRAATGTACACCAGCATTTTCSACGTGTTCAGAAACAGCAATACATAGAATCAAAGCTTCGTACGCTACAGCATCCACGTCGATTTCTTTTGCTTCCAGGATGAATTTTGATATCACAACGGGATGTTCCTTGCTGWCTKCGCTGGCACTTTTCAAATAAGATTCGAGATCTTGATTGGAGTGTGCGACATTCATAGAAGCACCGCTTAAAACATAAGACGGTCGTACTAGGCAAGGATAACCAACGTCTTCGCAAAATTGAATTGCAGATTTGAGATTAGTCAATTCTTTCCATCTGGGTTGTKAAATTCCAATTCYGTCCAACATGCGAGAAAATTTAAATCGATTTTCCGCACCGTCTAYAGATTCTGGTGACGTTCCAAGTATTCTAGCTTGTTGTCTGTGAAGATTCATAGCAATATTGTTCGGTAATTGTCCACCCATAGATAAAATGATTCCTTCTGGCGATTCGTTGTCGTAAATGTCCATTACTACTTCGAATGTAATTTCTTCGAAGTAAAGACGATCCCTGTCGCGAGAAGACGTCAGGCAATTCGACCTCACCGGTGTATGCAGCGGGAACTGCAGTGAAATGTTGGCGAATTCGGTCACAGTCCGTTTCGCAGACTGGGTCGATCTACCAACAAATGGATGGCGCTTGCATGGGTAATCCAGCGAGTCCAGTGCTAGCCAATCTAGTGATGAATTATATCCTAAAAAATATTGAAGGCATGTTACCCTTTCCAGTTCCTTTCCTAAAGGTTTATGTTGATTACGTTGTCACAGCAATACCAAAAGATGGAATGGACCAAACACTGAAGACCTTCAATAGTGTCAATAATAGGATCCAATTCACAATTAAGGTAGAAAATAATGGAACCTTACCCTTCCTAGATATGAACATTATAAGAAATGAAGACGGTTCCATTGTAACAAACTGGTATGGGAAACTCACAAGCTCTGGTAGATGTATAAATTACAATTCGAATCATCCAATAAGCCAAAAAATTGGGGTCATTAAAGGATTACTGTTGCATAAAAAAGAAATTTCATATGGAAAATAAAAAAAGAATAGAATTAATCTTAAAAAATAACAATTATCCAACGAGTCTCATACACATGGTGTTTAGTAAGTTTAAACKAGAGAKAGATCAGAAGAAAGAAAAAGAACTAAATAACAAAAGAATTATTAAGTTTCCGTTTGTCAAACCTTTATCTAATAAAATAAAAAAATGTTTCAAAAATACTAATGTAAAACTAGTTTTTTATAACTTAATTAAAATAAATTCAATATTCAC